ATTAGCATTTAAAATAAAATGATGTTATAGTTTTTATTCTCTCTTTTTTTGTAAATAAAAAGAGTCAATTTTAATATTAGTATTTTTAATATTAAAAATTTTAAAATTCTTTTGTTAGAAGTTTATGATAATGCATGATTGTAGGCAATATTATTGATATCATATTGTACCGGTGGTATTGACCAGTATTGTATTATTGGTATCAACCAATACTGTACTAATTTTTTTATTAAATCGAAATGGTACATGATTCAATTTTATTTTGATAAAATGCTATAGTATTGGCCAATATTTCAACATACCGGCCAATACACTGAACATACCGGCCAATACACTGAACATTGACGGATACAAATCTATTCAAATTTAAAAAAGATAAATTTTATTTTTGGTCCTCAATTTTAATATTTTACATAATTTTCATCCTTTAACTTATTTATTTATTTTTTTAGTCCATCAATTATAAAAATTGTACTTTTTTGGTCATTCTATTAGTTATTATATTGAGTTTGTCTAAATATACTTATTTTTAGTCCCTTAATTTAAAGTGAATGGATGAAAAATATGCATATATTCATAGCTGAGGAACTAAAAATGTGTATTTTTAGTCCCTTTTGACAATTTTAGATTTAGACTTATAATTCTTAGTATTTATCAGTTACTGCTCTCTCTTTTTAGTAATGTTTTGATTTGTCTTTTGTATTCTTGTTATACTTAGAAGATATGATTTCTTCTCTTGTGAAAGTATTTTGTATTGTAAATTGTATAATATTAAACTAAGAACACTATTATATTTTCTAATATTATATGAATATTAAAAAAAAATTATAGATGTTTTATAAAGTTGACCATTTTAAACTTAATGTATAAAAATTTGATGGTTTTAAACATTAGTTTATCTTATCATTATTTTAAATTTTGATATTTAATTTATAAAAATATATATTTATAGTGATAAATCCGAAACGATATGTAAAAAATTTTGACATCCAATACGTACCGTTCCAATAACAAATCTGATACGTATGTCAATACAATATTAATAACTTTGATTGTAGGCACACAACCTTTGAAATTTTAATATTT